AAAAAAAAAAAAAAAAAAAAAAAAAAAAAAAAAAAAAAAAAAAAAGATGTAGTTGCAATTGAAATTTTGAAAAGAATTTTAAGATTAAGGTTTATGATGGCTTGTTGTGGTGATCTGGGAATCAGAGTTGGGGTTTTGTTTCTGACAGTTACTGATTTACTGGGTTATAGTTTAGCAGTTTTTTTTTTTTAAATGGTTCATTAAATACATTTAAAACTCTTTGGAAAGAAAGCATCTGGAAAGTGTGAAAGCAATTCAGAATCATGTTTACATGTATTAAGTGCCTATATGTACATGTTGTAATGAGGAATATTACATAATAAGGATGGAGTAGTAAAGACATTGTATTTAGTTTTATTTTAAAGGGGTTAAAAGATATTTTTCATATATTTTATGTACTTATATTCTAATTTTTTTACCTAAACTTCTGAGAATATATTTAGATAGACCATGTAGCCTAGATATTTCTTACATTTAATGTAAGCAGAATCCACTTAATACCATGGTAATAACTGAAAATTTTAATAGCCATTGTTTTACTGGCAGTAATACCTCAAGTAGTTGACCAGAGCCTTCGTGTTTATCTGAGAATACTTTGTAATTCTACTTTTCCTGTGATTTTTCTGGGCTTTTACAAAGCGAGGATCAATTGTGTTTACTGAAATTAGAATTCTATCATGTGGGGATTTGTTGAAACCTGGGAAGTCCCTTAAGAAGTCTGACTCATCTTCACCTCTTCTTTCAGCTTGCAGCTGTTTGTGATGTATTTGTGGAAAACTATGTCCCTGGCAAATTGTCTGCAATGGGGCTGGGCTATGAAGATATAGACGTGGTAGCGCCTCACATGGTCTACTGTTCCATCACAGGTATCTCAGCACCACACCCTCGTCAGTGGCGAGGTTTTCCAGTTTCTGTGTCTCTTTCTGTATTTAAGAAACCTCGCACTAGTGTTGGTTTTCTTGAGGTGCTTCTGCTCTCCCTCCCTGCCGAGCCATTTTAGGTTGTTGAAAATTAGTCACTAAAGAACATTAACCTAAATGAACATTTTTCATATTTCTTCTGTGAATTGTCTGCGTGTAGTTTTGCCAATTTTTCTACTGATATTTCACAAATACTGACAAGGTACTATTATTAACTTATATGTAGAATTACAGGTGAAATATTAATTGGCTTTAAGATAACATAGGATCTCAACATACTGCTTCAATATATTCAAAAGTGCTAAAGCCAACTGAAGGAAAAGAGTGCTATAAAGTCTTTTAGATTGTTCAGCCCTTGATGGTGAACTCCGTGTGTGTGTTTGTGAAGTATGTCTTTAGGCTAAAGGGAAAAAAGTCATTGTATTAGTTATCTTTACATAGTTTATAAGCACTTAGCTATTAATTAGGGATACAGTATTAAAAAGTTATTCTTAAAATAGAAAGTTACATTAATAGCTTTTGTCGGAATAATTTATAAGATTTTCAGATTTTATTAATTCATCCACCAAATATTTACTGCAGACCTCTGATCTGCCAGGCAGTATTCTAATCTTCTGAGATAACAGCAATGAATAACACATATCTATGCTCTTCAGCAGATTTACTTTCTAGGTTAGGGAGATAGATAGTAAATAAGTAAACACATCCTTTTGTGTTTTGTTTTTTGTAATTGAGTGCAGTAGTGATAAGGTCAAAAGAGAGAAACTAAACAGGGCAAGGGGGATGAGGTGAGGAGGGTCTATTTTATACTGGGAGGTGAGATAAGGCTTCACCGATAAAGGGGACATTTAAGCCAAGACCTGAATGAAGTAAAGGAGTGAATCGTATCATTATTGGCAATGAGGGTTTCGGGCAAGGGGAACAGCAAGTGCAAAGGACCTGGGGCAAGACTGTGTTGGGCCTGTTTGAGGACCGGCAAGGATGGCTGAAACAGAGTGAGTGAGGGGGAATGTAGTAGGAAGAAAATCAGGGAGATAATGGTTAGTAAGATGATGGTTAGTAAGGGCTTGTGGGCTGCTCTTAAGGAATTAGGCTTTTACTTCAAGTAAGATTGTAAGTTAATGGAGAGTTTTAAGCAGAGGAGTGATGCGACCTGGCATTTTTAAAAGGATCACTCTAGCTACTGTGTTAAGAATAGACTGTCGAGGACAAGGGTAGTGGGAGAACAATTACGAAGCTATTGAAATAGTCCAGGCTAGAGATGATGGGGGCTTGAATTAGAGTAGCAGTGGTCGAGGTAGTTAAAGAGTGATAGAATTCTGAATGTTTTCGAGAAAAGGGGGTAAGGTTTGCAGATGGATGAGTTGTGAGTATCAGAGAAAGACTAGAGTTAAGGATGACTCTAGGGTTTTGGCCTGAGCGATTAGAAGAATTGCTGTTTACAGAGTCGAGTAGGACTGTGGAAAGAAGCTTTGGGAGGAAGAACATCACGTTTGGACTTGGAATGTCAAGTCCAAGTCTAGCTTGAAATGTAGAGTAAGGGCTTGGATCTAAGAGTCAGGAGATGTAAAATTTTATAGTTATGAGCAAATACATGGTATTTGAAGCCTGTATTTGATCTTTTACAGAGTGAGTGTAGATAGAAAAAGGAGAGCCTGAGTGGCTGAGCCTGATGCACTCTCATGAGTAGATGTTTAGGAGACGATGATGACGCAGTGAAGGAAGTCGTGAAGGAATCGTCAGTGAGGTGGGAGGAGAACCCGGAGGCAAAGTGATGAAAGGGTTTATTTTCATAGACAGTTTAAGCAGAAAAGCATAAAGCATAAATCACGTATGGACCTGAATTACTCGCATCTCCTAAATGCACCACACTTGCTCTCACGGCAGAGCCTTTACACATGATGTTCCCATTGCTTGGAACACTAATCCCCTGCCACACCCAGTAACTCTGTCTTTGTCCTTTAGATCTCACCTTGGATGTCATTGCTTCTGTGCAGACTTCTTCTCTCTCGATCCCTGAAGACTGGGTTGGCTGTTGTCTGCCATATTTTACTCTTTACTTGTCTGTCTCCCCCACTATCCTTAAGGCTCTTGTTCAGCACACAGTATAGAGCACATGGTAGGGAGTTTCTTACCTCAATGAATGAATAATCAGAACTTGGCTAAAGAGTTTTTAATAGCTGCCTTTTTTTTTTTTTTTTTGCATTCTACTTTTCAGAGATGAGTGTAAGTCGCGAATGTTATGTTTACATTTTCCAAAGAAACTTTCAGAGGATAGCCTGGGGTTAGGGCATAGTTGGCCTAATCTGTTATTTCTTATGTAGTTCGTCCATAGCACTAATGTAATGATCATTGCTTTAAGGTACCAAAGGAGTCCGTACCATGAAGTAAATATTCACTTATTGTCATTAGGTCCCTATGCATTAGGTTTTTTCCTAAGGCAGTAAGGGAACTAGTACATTTAAAAAATATTTTAAAAGGGAACCAAACAAAAACTTTACTCCTTATATTTCAGTAAATTTATCTTAAAATAGCTATCTGAAAATCTTGTTTTACTATAAAAGCCACAAAAATGTTATCTTAAAAATGTTTGGGGCTTCCCTGGTGGCGCAGTGGTTGAGAGTCCGCCTGCCGATGCAGGGGACGCGGGTTCGTGCCCCGGTCCGGGAAGATCCCACGTGCCGTGGAACGGCTGGGTCCGTGAGCCATGGCCGCTGAGCCTGTGTGTCCGTAGCCTGTGCTCCGCAATGGGAGAGGCCACAACAGTGAGAGGCCCGCGTACCGCAAAAAAAAAAAAAATGTTTGTTATTTGTAAAATTATAAGAGCCGAAATACTCCTATTTCTGTGCATTCAGGTTAATTGAGATATTACAATACTTTGACTGTGACACATTACTTTAGTATAAATAGTGCTTTTCATGGTGTAATTGTCTTTGTGGTGGTATTTTCATATAAAATAAGCTATAATTGCAATATTTGGACAATTGTTATTATTTTATATTTAGATCAAAGAGCCCAGTGATCATTAACTTCTCTCCTGAACAGCACAAGAGATAGGTTCTGTACATACTAGATCTTTGCCACTAGATCTGACTCTTTTTCAGATGTACTATTATATAGATCTGTAATCACACTTTTGTTTTTGTGTCTGTGTATCAAATAGTTATATGTGTGTGAGAGAGGGAGAGATTTTTCCTTAGAATCTCACAATCTAATGGAAATGCTGAGGTGTAAAATATTAAAATAGGTGAACTATTATCTTCTGAATTACCCTATAACCATAAAAATTCTGCATAACTAACAAATGCAAAATCTTACATGACAGTAAGTATTTATTTCTTATTGTCATAAATGTGGATTGGCTGGGATTCAGCTGATCTAGACTCATTAGGTTTGGCTCCAAGTTGCAGGTCTGCTCTGCACGTGTCTTACACTCCTTGGACCAGTGGCTACCAAGTATGTGTTCTGCTCATAGTGAAAGGCAAGAGCACAAGAGAACAAACTTAATCTCACAAGCACATTTAAAGCCTCTCTCTGCTCACATCACATATGCTAGTATTCATTTGGTCAAGGCAAGTCATATGGCCAAGACTGATACCAAGAGGTGGTTAAATATAATACTCTAGTGGCAGGAACTACAAAGTCGCATTGAAAAGGGCATGGGATCTGGGAAGGGTGAAGATTGGGAATAATAATGTATTTCATCACATCACCCAGCTAAATGAAATGCTAATCCACTTGGGAAGCCTCACGCTTCCCCAAAGTTTCACATCTGTATCTAACTACGGTTAGAATCAAAAGTTCTTCTGGGCCTTGTCTTGTGACTGGAGAATCTCTTAAGTTTTCTTCTAGTTCTCAGATCCTGTATTAACAGTTTAGTGTGGCAAAGGCCCTTAGAGACAGATTATAGTTCTCAGTAGTTCTCAGCTAAGGGGAAAATAGTTCTCAGTAGTTCTCAGCTAAGGGGAGAATGGGAGTATCATAGGCTTTTCGGTAACAGTGATGGGGCATGAAGGGGTGATGGGGAGAGGCATGTGTAGTCTGAAAAAGCAGCCCTCTTTATTCTGTAATCCTGTACATCCCCACCTCCTGACAATCGTTAGAAAAACATTCACACAGCTCTCTCTTCTTTATTCCTGATAAGGAAACAGACCCAGAACAGCTGAGGGACCTAAGGTCACACAGCTATTTAACGGCAAATGGGTTTAAAACTCAGGCTTCTTGACTTGGTATTAAGTGCTTCTAAGCTTTCTCTGTTTAGACATGTATCATTGTTAAGTGATGACATGGACTTTGTGATTACAAGACACTGAACAGGTCTCCTTGAGAATATATATTTTTGTTATTCTGTTTCATTTGTTGTTGATCGTATTGGCAGCGGTGGGAGTCATGAACAGAGTTCCTCATCAGGGAGTCTAAATTCAACAGATTCTTTTGGAAGCAGCCGTCATTTGTGAGTCATGAGTTTGTGTGTATCTAAAGGAAGGGCCTCTCTTTTTTTAGAAGTTTGGTGTTCTTGGTAATCAATGTTTGTTTTTTTTAATAAGACTGATTAGATCAGTCTAAAGTTGCGCATGTTATTATTGGGGTCCTAGACTTCCCTGATGTTTCCCAGTGGTATTGATGTCTTGTCAGTGCTTTCCAAGCCCAAATAGTCTGTTCTCACTCACATGTTGCCCTTACTGCTGATGAGAGTAACCTTGGAGTGGTTGGGAGTTTAATGCATTCTGACCATTGTGTGGCTGAGACTGCCTCAGTCTGTGAAATCTGGTCTACAGGACAAAACTGCTACACTGATCACAAGGGAGGAAGGACCCAATTATTTTTATTAGCACGGTCCTCTTGTCATTTCAGAAGAAGCTGAGTATGAACATTAGGGGGCAGTGTTTAAAAAGCTATCAGTAGAATTCACTACGAATTCATTTTTGAGAAAACTATAGTGTTTC